GGACATAACCAGTTATATCAGCTTGTGTGCTGATGCCATCCCAGGGCTTTTCAAAGCCTCTCCCCTGTGTGGCATCTAAAGGCATGAAAAGTGTTTCTCAGTATGCCCTTTGGTCACTGAAGTCAACGCAAGAGTTATTACTTAAAGAAAATTGAAATCTGTTTTTAAGATGTGTGTTTCATTATAAGGGTATGGGATGTAGCAGACTTTAACGGAGGCTCTGATGCATAAAGGCTTACCTAAGTCCTGTTAGTTGCAAAGAATACGCATGCCGTTGTGGATTTGGGATGGAAAATCTACCATTTAAAGAAAAAATGATGGGTGTTTTGCCGTCTTGTATGCAAAGATTGACTTGGTCGGTCCTTTTGCGGTAAAGAAGCATGACTTAATAAAACTGCTCCGACTACTGATAACTTCTTTGCTCTGTGACTGTCCAGGTAAAAATCCCGCTTTGCAGTGGATGTTTTAAAGCATCTTAAACTTTTTTTTGTTTTTAATCTTTCCAGGAAATTTTGCTTGCTGAAAAATGGGCCAAAATGAACAAGCTTCCTTTCCCCAAAATAGATCCAAATGTATTTGATCGAGAGGGCTTGAAGGAATGCTATGTTTTTAAACCAAAGGATACCTCTTCAGAGAAAGACTGTCCAACTATAATCCATTTTGTTCTGGCAAACATCAACTTTCGGAAGTACAAGGCTCCAGGTGAGCTAGCAGTTTCTGATGCTAAATCTAGTTGTTCCTTGAAGCTCTGTATCAACATATCAGTGATTAGATACTGGAAATGTTTTGTCTCTGACATAATTTCTTGAATCTGTTTGTAGTAGCTATGGATTTCAAAAGATCCATTAAAAAATGAGATAGCTGGTCCTCGGGCTTAAAATTTAGATTTTTCTTTTTCAGGATGGTGAAGACCTTTTGTATTTGTTCTGTATGCAGGTGTCCCAAGAGAAACACAGGAAGAGAAGGATTTTGCAGACTTTGATATTTTTGATGATCCTAATTCACCATACTCTACCTTCAACTTCCAGTATCCCAATGAGGCTTTCAAGAGGCTACATGATCTAATGGAGTTCAACACCCTCAATAACATCGATGTATGTATGCCAGCGCAGAAGGGGCTTAAAGTGTCCGGGTCGCTAAAGGCGAGAAGTAGCTGATGTGAATAAAACCCTGAATCTGCCATATCGAAAGTTTAGAGATTTACTTTAGGACTTTCCTTATTGATTTGTTTTGACATATTAAGTACTTTCTGCATATAAAACTGAGGCTGGATCAAAAGCCATTACAGTCAGTGGAAAAAAACTGCTTTATTTTGATGAGGGTTGGAGTATTCTCTAGGAAAGTTCTTCGCACAGACTGTTGCATGGTCCACTTATTTCCTTCCAGCCAGGGAAGGGAAGGAGAAGGGAAGGTTTTAGCTGCATAGATAATACAGTGACTGGAGTTATCTGAAGTGAGACTGGAGAGAGTTGGGTGGGTTGCAGTGAGAATTAGGGGAGCCAATTTTGCCTTTTCTGTTGATCTCCGCTTTTGAAGCGCTGAAATATCAGTGCTATGAGAACTACTATCATATATGATCCTCTGACAGTTATAAACTTCCAGGTAAATATGCTGCTGAAAAGGCCAGAGGCGCTTTCTAGTGCATAAAAAAGTCTAAACAATATTTCTGGGGCTAAGATTGACTTAATATTGTGGTCATCTTCTGCCAAATGGACGAACTAGTCAAACTTCTGTGCGCTTTTTGTTTGACCCTGTGCTTGTTAGGATCCGTTCCAATTCATTTTCTTAACTAATTTGGTTATTATGTTGTTTTTTTGTCATTTTAACATCAAAAGTCCTGCAGTGTAGCTAAGCAAAGGTGACTAGGCAGGACATAAGACATTAAATCCAGGATGCATTTTACATTCAGTTGTTCATGTATGTAACTGGAAACAAAGGATAATGGAACTTTTTTTAAGGATCTCTGGAAAATTCTAGCAACTAATGCAGCCAATAATGATTTCTTATATTATTTAATTGATACTGTTGCCCAGGACCTTGCTCTGTATCCCGTTTTCCCTGCAACACTCGAATGCCTTTCCATATTCACAGGTGTGACTGTGAATGCATCATCAGATATAGATTTTCTTTTAGTGTAGTGAGTGAAACTTGTGACTTTGGGACAAAGTAAGCAGCAGAACTGAAGACTGAAACTTTATCAAGATATTAATGATTCACATAGCCTTTGAGTATTTTCTCATGGTTTTGACTGATCTTCAGAATCGCACTGGGACTCAGTTTAGATGGTGTATATTCCTGTGGGACTGCTTTGATGCCAGGGATATTCTGCCATCTGCCAGCACAGAAATCAGTGTGTTATGCAGTCAAGAGAGTGGTATTCAAAATAACACTCGGCAATTGCTTTGGTCCGTGACGGAGCACTTGGGAAATTAGCAGCCACAGGTGTTAAGATCCGATAGGGTCTTTTCTTTCAGTTAAGAAATCATAAAAATGGTAGACCTTGCCGTGAATGACACGCTGTTCGTCTGTTTTCCAGGTGATCAAGCAAGCTATGATGGAAAGCATTGAATACAGGAAGGAGAATCCATCCCGCTGCTCAGTGTCTCTAAGCAATGTCGAAGCAAGGAGATTCTTTAATAAAAACAACCTTAACAAAAACCATACGTAGAGGATGTGCTGTAGCTCCCACTCCTCGAAGAGGCTGTCTCTACCTTTATAACTGGAGTTGAAAAGACATTATAAAGAGCATTGCTGCTCTTGAAAAGGGCTGTGCAAGACTCCTGAAAACTGTTTCTTATGAATTTCCAAGTTTCAATATTATTTTGTACTTCTTACTTTTAACCTAAGAATTGAAAACATTTCAGTGTGCTGGTCATTCCCTTCTTTTAAAAACTATGGAATTAGGTGATTTTGGCTATAGAATCATTTGGTTCACAGTAGGGGAGGTGTTGTATTTTTTGTTTGTTTGCCTTGTAAGTACTAGTTTTTCCCAGTAGGGCAATTTTCTTATTTTTAGTTGATGTAAACTGAGCATATCTTCAACTATGTGATGAGATTTGAAACACGAAAGAATAAAATTTTAATAACAGAAATGATATAGATGTATACCTGGACTTGGGCCCAGATCCCGCTCCGCTTTGTATAAATGAGAAAACTTGCTTTGACTTTTGTTGAAAAGTCAATAAAAATCAATAACTGATAACTATTGCTAGGCAATAGCAGCTCCCTAATATGTTAAGTCACGTAGCTGCTTACCAGTACTGTTAAGGTTGATTTCTTTTACTGGAAGGGATTTTGATCACTAGGAACCCTTGGCTATATTGGCCTTACCAAATCGAGCTGTGTTTCAGATTTTGCTTTTCTTGCATTAATAATAGAGCAGTATCTTTGTAAAAACACACACACACACACACACACACACACACACACACACACACACACACACACACACACACACAAAACCTTCCCATTTTTGATAACAAGTGGGTAAAGAAATGGGGTTTATACCTCTTTGATAATATTCTGAGTGGGATTCTGAGCTGGCTGTTAGCGTTAGCAGAGCTTTGGTGAGTGATGTCAACAAGGATCTACTTCCGAATCTTTGAACGTCAAATATTTTCACAAAAATTGAAGTCCACTTTACTACTTTTTAATGATGTATGTATCCACTCAGCAAAAAATCCAACCTCTTACCGTTTTTTTTCCTCTTTTTACACAAAATCACGTTGATTGAGGTTTTTGAGCTGGTAGTACCTGTGTGTTTAAGTAATTGTTTGTTCATATATTTCTGACCAAAATGCTTTAAAATAAATTAAGAACCGTTCACCATTTGATCATGTCATGATGACAAACATTGCATGCCTGCAAAGGGACAGCGGCAATGCTTACTAGGGATAGATAACCATTCCTAGGTAAGAATGTGAAGTAGTTTCTGTGCTAAGGGCTATATTTAAAATGTATTTTTACTGCTTTCACCGATGAAAGATCGTACGTACATAGACATAGATTATTCTGGTACTGTCTAAACAAGGTTCACGGCAGGTAACTGTGCAAAGGCACAGGAAAAGGTGGTTATGCCTCTAAAACCTTTCCAGTCTGTTTGGAAATAATGTAATCATCAAGCGAGTAACGGAGAAAAGGGAAGAAAAGAGTGAAAGTTGCTGAAGGCGTCACAGGACCAACAGTGACTGGGTGCCAGATCGGAGAGTTGCAGATTGAACCCAAGTTGAGTGCTTGGCTGGCTTGTTTCTTTTCCTGGCAATTCGTAGTTTGCTGCTTTTCTGGTGGCACTTGAAGGGGAGAAGACAGCAATGGCTGAATAACTCTGAGAGTTAACGCAGAGGTATTTGCCGAGGTGAGAGGGTACAAACATCCCCGGCTGCTGCGGGTATTGCTTGTGCAGCGCTGCACATTGGCTGGAGAAGAAAAGCCCTGGGAAAAAAAGATTATTTGCAGGGTCACGGTCAGAAGCCGTGAGGGTTCCTTCGCAGGAGCGTTAGGTGACATTTTGGTCTCCAGGCTTTTGTTGCTGTTTCTAGGCTTCAGCTTTCAGCCTCCTCTTTCGATAGGGCTGCGAGGACCCCAGCAAACACTGAGGTAAGGGTTACAGCGAATACCGTCCCGCTGCGTAAAGATGTTCTGACGCATGTCTGATTTTTTTGTTTGTTTGTTTGATAATTTTGTAACAAGGGATTTTTGCAATAACAGCTTGTATATCAAAGCGTTAACTGTTAACTCAGTGGCTCTTCCTTTTATTGTGAATTATTGAGTCTTCAGTTGCTAAAATCTGTGAGCCCATGGGAAGGGAAGCAATTATAATGGATTTCTTTTAATAGTCACTGCAACATCCCTCCTTGAAGCTACATGTAATGTGATGTGATTAATAACATTTTCTTATATTGATTAATAGGTTTTATCTCTATTTAAATTAGTACATGTTTAAAATCAAGAGAGAAAATAAAAGTAATTTATCTTAGTGTTGTGTAATTTAAACATTTTCAATAAATATTTGAATGCAGGAAGAAACTGGTACCATTCATTAATAATAAAATTTTCTTTTCAATATATTTTTTTTTCCTTTTGGTTAACATGATAATATTTGTATTTTATATTTTGCAGTACCTACTTCTATGTTTTATGGAAGTGTTTTGTCATGCTTTATACAGTTTATATTATCACAGTGTTACCAAACAATAAAAAAATTTAACTAAGTTTGGCACTCATTGTTTTCAGGTGGTTTATTTTGATCGTTTGAATGATACTATCACTTTTATTATGAAAAGGCGTGAGACACAGATCTCCCCTATGCTGAAGCTGGTGGGTCTGCTCCCAAGTAGGAAATCAGAAATGTTGCTGGTTAGTCTTTCTTTTTAGTTTAAATGTTAAAAACGCAACTGTTTTGAGCAGCTCAGTGGAGAGAGAATACCCCATTTTGGTTCCTATCATTTTATTTTAGTGTGACCACTGTGCGAGTCGTCTTGGGCTGTTCTGTTAAGAGCTACTAGAGTGAAAAACAGAAGGGGTTTGGGAGCTGGGTCCTTGCTGTCTTTAATCTTGTATTTTTTTTAAAACTTAGGTGAAAGAGAGAAGTTCCTCAAAACCTGAAAACCCAGTTCCATGAAATTCAGCTCAAACAGGCGTCAGCTTCTACGTTTGCTGAACAGCAACAACAGTTTCTCATCCGCAGGTACTCGCGAATGCAAGGGCATCTTTCTGGCAGAAAATCTGTAAGTAAATTCATTTCACGACTGTATGGCAGACAAGGCTAAGAGTCAGCTGTGAGCACGAGGTCTAAGAGTGAAATATTAGAGAGACCAAAACCTTCCGTTGTAATGTGTGTGGAGGTGCCTAACAAACATTTTAATGTGCCAAAGCACCAAGTTCTCTTGAGCCGGTGTTGTTGGGACCTTGCCACTGCTGTGCCCACCAACATGGGGTTCGTCACGCGGGAGCACAGGGTCTGCCCATTAGGGCACAAGTCTCGCTTCCTCTGCAAAAAGTCCAGTTTCTCAAAGTCCTGACTTTCTGAAATGACATTTGAAATGTCTTGGACTCCCAAGAAGCTCATTGATAAGGTCATAATTTCTCTATAGACTCAAAAAACCCTCTCTAATCCCACGTCCATAAATAGAAAATCCGTCTTGGTATGATCAGAAAGTTAGAAGTCAAAGCCTGTTTTGACTCAGCTGTTACAGCAGAAGACTAAGACTGCTAGACTTACTCACACAGTATATTAAAAATTATGCCAAAGGGGAATAATAACAAAAAAAACCCCTTCTACTTACAACTGATGTGAAACCAGGAATATATACCTTTCAGTATGCTTTTCATTATTTTTTTTTTTTCCGCCTTCCTACTACTAACCGTGGTTCATGTTTTTTATCCTTGTGATAGTTTTTCCAACCAGATGTATGTATACTTAAAAGAAGGTAGAAGGTGGGTTTAGAAAATGAATTATTTCAAAATTCAGACACTCTTTTAGGTAGTACTTGCAGGATATGGAAGTGTCATAACGCTAGCATAAGGCTGCAAAGAGCTCAGCCTCCCAGGTCAAGTACAGCTACTTTAAAGCGTATTTGGAGCGTGCGTCTGTCCCATCCCAGGGAAGATTGGCAACAAACCTCTGACATCCGATCCGGGGATTATTTTGTCTTTTCTGTAGGAGCTTAAGGCAGAGTCTCCAGCTGTTAGAATAGGCATCTGCAATCTCCGCTTACAATTTTTTACAGCGGAAGTAAACGCTCAGAATAAAATCCTATTAACCCGGGAAGCATGAGAACGCAAGTGCGTTGACCTCAAGCGTGTTTGCATCAGCGAGAAGAAAATTCATTTTGGCAGGGACTCAGAGCCACAACAAACGTGCTTTCTGTTTTGACCCAACGTACTTTGTCTGGGGGTTGAAACTTGAGAAGCAATTGTAAATGGGCTCTGGTCTTCTCTTTAACGTGGCCTGGATCGCCCACAAGTCTTGCTCTGCTTTTAGAGCACCAATAGGATTATTTTTGTGGGGAGCTGTGCTCTGTACAAGCAAATGGACGCAATCTTAGTAACACTGAGAAGCGAGTTGTGCAACCAAATAAATTTACATAACACATGTTTGCCCTGATGCTCACTCAAAGCCCAAGCATGTAGACATTTCCTGAAGCTGTAAATTCACCCATCACTCTTACTGTTTTTTCACTTCACATGCGGGTTAGATTTGTGCATGAATCTGACTCATCCAATTAAGTTATATACACTGGCCCTTCTCACGCTAGGTAAAAAGGAAAGATCGTCACGGTTCACAGCAAGGAATTCCCCATGACAACAAAAACACGAGACTGTTTTTCATGCAAAGAAAAGCCAGTGGAATAATACTGTTGACAAACTGTGAGTTTAACTTTTAAACTCACCAAAAATAAAAATATTCAGTATAATAGGAACAGGCTTTTCTTACGTGACCATATAATCCCCTCCACGTACATTTGACTTGAGCAGAAACTGGGGACAAAAGACTTCCAATCCCTGTAGGTTTTATTAGAATGTTATAATAAGAGAAAACTTTTATTAGGAAAAGTCAGATTGAACCAGGTGGGGAGGTGATGGGGAGACAGGGGAGGTGCTTGGGCGAGTGCTGGAACGGGAAGGATGTGCAGCAGCCGCAGAGGACGATCGGTCCTGCCAGCCTGCCCAGGGTTCTCGCCAGGCCAGAAATCCTCAGCCCCATTCAAACAGCTGCCAGAAAAACCTTGAATCCATTTAGAAAGTTGAATGGAGACTTTCTGATGGCTGGAAGCCAGTCACTTATAATTTTAAAAGTACTGAACTAGGCTTTTATGCCTTTGCTTTCTTCAAACTCCGCGTCCCGTTGCCTCGGCAGACTGTTAGCGTGGACCCAGCTTTCTGGTTAGAAAACATTTAGCCCTTAATCAGAGCAATACTGCTCCAGTGCTTTCTGCTTGGAGCCTGTGGCAAAGCTAGAAGCAGAAATCTGAGCAGTGTGTGATAGTTTTGGTCTTTTGGTTCCCACCTAATTCTCAGCCAATTTTGTTTTTTTTTTTGAAAGGCAAGTCAAGATTGATCAAAGGAAAACTATCTCCCTTCTTATTTGGGTACTGAAACAAAATAACTTTCTGTCATCACAGAACTACTTAGGTGAAGTTAGATGCTTTATTTGTTATTATTTTCTAATTTAGACTCTTCCATTCCTGAGCAGGTTTTCTGGATGGAGTT